TCTACATCCTCGTGTACGTCGACGACTTGGTCTTTGCCACTGCTGACACTGAGGCTCTCGCCCTGGTGAAGTCGGAGCTGCAGAAGAGACACACGTGCACAGACCTGGGTGAGCTGCGCAGTTACCTTGGCTTGCGGATCACCCGGGACAGAGCACGCCGCACCATCACACTGACTCAGTCACACATGGTGCAGCAGGTCCTTCAGCGCTTCGGCTTCACCTGGTCCTCGGCACAGGCCACTCCTCAGGCTACAGGTCACTCGCTCTCAGCTCCACCTTCGGACGAGTCCGTAGAGCCGAGTGGTCCTTACCCAGAGCTTGTGGGCTGCCTCATGTACCTGATGACCTGCACTCGTCCTGACCTTGCGTACCCTCTTGGCCTTCTGGCTCGCTACGTGGCTCCTGGTCGGCACCGAAAGGTGCACATGGATGCTGCTAAGAGGGTACTACGCTACTTGTGCAGTACATCGGGCATGAAGCTCATGCTTGGAGGACGAGGCGACGTTGTCGTCACTGGGCACTCGGACGCTTCTTGGGTTGACGACCAGGCTACGCAGCGGTCGTCACAGGGTTACACCTTCAGCCTTGGCTCCGGCTCTGTTTCTTGGCGTTCTACACGCTCGTCTTCAATTCTCGGCTCCAGTTGTGAGGCTGAGATCTACGCCACAGCCATGGCTGCACAGGAGCTTCGCTGGCTCACCTACCTGCTGACCGACTTGGGAGAGCGGCCTCGTTCTCCTCCAGTGCTGTACGTCGACAACAAGGCCGCCATTGCCTTGTGTGAGGAGCACAGACTGGAGAAAGAACGAAGCACATCGCTCTGCGTTACTTCCTTGCTTGCAGCAGCGTGGTCAGCTTCGTCTTGCTCACGTGGCCACTCGGGCCAACACTGCTGATATATTCACCAAGGCACTTCTGTCTGGTGATCATCAGCGTTTTTGTACTTTGTTAGGCCTTGTGCCCACGTTTCCTCACTTGCTGTAGACTTTGCCTGTACTGTGATCTATATATATACCTGCATGCTTGCTCTGCTAGGTAGAGATCACTGTGCTGTCGTTGTTGCATATATACCTCTGCATGTGAACTGGCCTTGTGGCCCTTTGCTTGTGCTCAGTGTGTGTGGTGACGTTGTGATCCACCCTGAGCTTGCTTTGCTTCTCTTGACTGGTCTTGTGACTCCTAGTTCTCCCCCACTTTGCCTATGGGGGTGTGTCAAGTATATGCATGTTTTATATGTGTAGGCTGTAGTGGGGTAGCCAATATGGGGTACAGCCCCGTTTAGGGTTTCATACTTGTACCCAACTTTTCCATAGTGCATTCGACCGAAAGCATATCTGGTCGATTTTATACCTCCGAGGCGTTCGAATTGGCACTTGTTGATCCGTTCCTCGAAGCTTTCACGAATCCCAGCCATGAGAAGCAAAGCGACCGCAAAGGACGGTTGGCTTTGAAAGCCAGGGCTGACTGAAAGCGCGAAGTGTCAAGAATAGAACTAGGAATGAACGATTGAACTAGGCAAGAGATGAGTACAAGTAGGGGAAACCTAACCCTAAAGTGTTGTACTCACTAATGAGTGACCCTACTGTAGACTAGAGACACAATTGTAATTTGACACGAAGAGGCAGTGAACGCGCAACGACGCATCGCCACGTACAGCCCAGCGGCGTACGAACGCCACGCGCAGAGCCATGTTGCACCGCGCCACGGGACCGCCAAATGACGGGGGGTTCCAATCGGCTGTGGGCAGCAAGGGAAGGAACGCTCATCGGGGCGCCCTACCGCCCATGACCTCTCGCCGCATGTCTAGAGAGCGGTGCTTCTGTACAGTACTATTGTACGTCCGGGTGCCTACGCGACAGGTAGGGCGCAGTAACACAGTCGTCGGCCAGAACCGCCACACAGGTTGACGCACTGAGCGATGGTACAGCAGCAGACCACGAAAGTCCCGAATTCGCTCTTCGCGACCCTTCATCCTTGGTCGGTCACGAAGAGAGCAGGGTGTGCAGGTATGTATTGTAATGCAGCGACGATGGGCTTTGGAATGAGGACAAGGGAGTACGACAAGGGGGAGCTTGTTGTCCTGGAGAAGCACAAACCTGAGGCAACATTCATGGTGCTGGCGGGTGGTGGTGCGGTGAGTGGTGAGTAGTGAGTGGTGGTGAACGGTGGGTGGAAATTGGTGAGTGGTGAGTGGGGGTGATGAGGGGAAGTAAAGCTATGTTGGGAACGAAATAGGTGAGAGAATTGCTCCAGAACTTTGTTTGGTGATTCGGTCTTGCCCACGTGGCCTCGAATTGCTCGCGTGGCCATCCAATTCAGTGATAATTGCTCGAGTGGCCACGCCAGGGGATTTCCCCACCTTTATTTTTCCCCGGCACTTTACCCTACCAGGAAATTAGCCCCGAAACTCCCGAAACGAACGTGTGTATATTACTAGTCAAGGGCGGTAGTGCATATGACCGGTCATTTGCTCGTGTGTAATATTGGCGAGATCATATAGTAATTTGAGTTTCATTTGCGCGGTCAAATATGGTCGCAATCCTTAATGATGGCATCTGATTGGACGCGCAATGCCAACATTTGAGTTTCATTTGACGAATCATGCGCGGTCGTTAGGGCTGTTGCGGTTTGATGCTCGTCAATTAAAGTTTATGATCGCAGATTTATATGCTCAAGCGCTTATTGGTTACAAATTTGTTTGACCGAGCGCTCATTGGTCGCGCATTTGGCCGAAACTGAGTGCGCATCTACTGTTGGTCGTGATTATTTGTCGGTTTGTTGTACAGTGAGTGGGCCACGTTCGCGCCCGCCACCCTGGCAATTTTTTCGGGTGGGGAATATTACATCCCGCTTCCGCGGGATGAGACGAGCACGTGAGAGGAATTTCGGGGCTGAATTCCTGGTAGGGTAATGTGCCGGGGAAAACAAAGGTGGGGAAATCCCCTGGCGTTGCCACTCGAGCAATTATCACTGAATTGTATGGCCAAGCGAGCAATTCGAGGCCACGTGGGCAAGACCGAATCACCAAACAGGGTTCTGGAGCAATTCTCTCGAAATAGTTGGAACTTGATGGGCTGAACTGTTTCTCCAACCAAGAAGAATTGCTGAATGCTGACGGTTTGGAGCTCGTGAAGCATAGGCTCGTTCGGTGTGTTGCGTTCCAAAGCGGTAATTTCTTCACACAAATCGGCATTCACATTTCTGATCATTGTTGGCGTATTACCATGGGTCGCTGGTTACCGTGCCATACTTGAACACAGTCACGAACTCTCGGATTTATGCGAAGAGGTCCGGGCGAAAAAACCCGCCCAGGATCGCTCTCGCCGAAGGGCGGACGAGCGATGGAACTAGCAAGGGACACAGCAACGACCGAGCGAAGGTAGTTCGCGTGTGTAGCAAAGCGACCTTCCACTCCACCCCACCACCAGCACCAACCACTCTTCCACCCCGCGACACGCTTCACCTCACCTGCTCGCATCAGACCTCTTGCACTACTAACCATTCCCATTTGCTACTACTTCCCTAGTTATTGCCCCAACCGCAGATTGTGGGACTGAAGATACCCCATTAAATCTTCGCGTATCAGTCACGCCCGAGCGTAGTCCACACGTCAGAGTCCCTTCGCGTGAGTCGTGACGGAGTCTGCTTGCGGGGATGGGCATGACGGCTCAAGCGAGTCGCAAGCCGCGCTCTTGTCTGAGTGCGACTGGAAGGTTGATTCTCCATGTCTCGGACTCAGAGAGTGTAGAGGCCTATAAAGTAGACGCTCAGCATCGACAAAGTATCACAGCTTTCATACTCGCTCCCTCCATTCTCCTTATCGTATCAAAGTCGTTTGTGCATACCGACCACGGCTCTGCTCACAGCATCATTTCTCGACTGTGCTTCGCTCCTGAAACCATCGCATTCGACTGTGCTATCTTTCGTAAAGGCTTTTTACTGAGATCTGGGCATCTACCTAACAAGTCGCTACTATGGCTGCTACTTCTAGTAGCAACGCGCGGCTCCACGCAAGCCGCAAGCTGCTTCCCCTTCCTCTCGCCTTCCTGCTGCTCCTCGCCGTCACCAGCGCCAGCGCCGCGCGGCCCGTCCTTCACGCATCCCCCTCCGCCACGCGCGGCGTCGCCCGCCGCGCGCTCGCCCACGCGAATTCCGCCATGTCCCCGCAGAGGGTGGAGCGGCGGAAGCTGTTCAGCTGGGACGGCGTGACCGTCGATCAGATCAAAGCCGGCAGCCTGGGCACGATCGACGGTCCGAATGACGACGAGGTGACGACGAGGATCGTGGATCTATTCATGAACGCGGGGTACAACGTGATGGTCATTCAGAGCGACCACTCCGTGCAGGGCGACCCGGAATCCGTGCAGGTGGAGGTGTGGCACTTCTGGGATAACTCCGAGTTCACCGTCTACTTCAAGCAGGGCGCCTTCTCCGTGGAGAATCTTGGCAATGGCGGGTTCGAGAACTGGGCGTTCGGAGGCGTGTGGCAGCGGTACGGCGCCGATGAGAAGGTTGTCGTGTTCTCCTGAATCCTGATTTAGTTACGGTACCGGTACTGGTGTTCGCAGAGCTTGGGGGTCAGATCAGATCAGACATAGCGGATGTGACCAGGTGTTGAGCTGATGCTGCTTGTTGGTGCGCTTGTTGCTTATAGGTCAGGCTGTCTGATGTTCATTTCATTGGTTTCCAGTGTGGTGTAGATGGTGTGGTACTTGGATGGTGTTCTGGTGCCAATGATTGTATAGAGATGGTATTTTTATATGAGTGTACACATACTACCAGATAGGCACTGAACAGGGTGGTGCGTGTTGTACACATCTTGACACTGTTTCCCACCCACCTAACGCGCATTGAAGCCACCTCCAAGTCAGTTGCATTCACATGGTGCACACAGGCAAAGCGGCATCTGCGTGCACTACAGTACCGGTAGTAGCATGCCACCCAGTCAAGTATCCACTGCCGGACACGCATTGGTCCACTGAGGTGAGGCTCTTCTCCTCTCAATCGATTCCTGCTCGGCTGGACACGTGGCGCGATCTCCTCCCTCCCTTGTCCTTGCTGGCGTTGCGAGACGCGCGCCTCACCCCTCCCCCGCGCACCGCCTGTGCTGCCTGCTGCCGCTGCCTCTCCAGCTGCCTCTGCTGCTTCTGCCCTGCACGCACACTCACCCTCTTGCTAACCCCGTTTCCCCTTCCATCTGTACCTGCCTGTCTGGGTTTCCCCATGCCCTCATCCTCATCCTCATCCTTATCCTCATCCTCATCCTCATCCTCGTCCCCATCCCCCTCTTGTACATGACTGTCATCATCGCTAGCATTCCCACCATCACTACCATCCTCCTCCTCTGCACCCTCACCAGCAGACTCATTCTCCTTGCTGTTTTCTCTATTAACATCCACTTCCTCCTCCTCACCCTCCTCTTCCTCCTCATCCTCCTCTTCCTCCTCGTCCACCTCCTCCCCCACACCATTCTCTCTGCATTCCAAGTGGCTTGTCTCTCTCCACTGAGACTCTTCCATGTACTGAAGGCGACACATGCGAGAGAGGAAAAGGGGACACACACGAGACGGAGGAAGGGGACAGATGCAGGAAGAGGAGAGGGTTTCTGGTTGAGCGAGGAGACAGAGGGATCCATGTGACAGACACGCACAGCCTCACATGCGCCCGCCCATGCGCATTCACCCACGAGCAAAACAGTTTCTTGGTTGATGTGACTTGCAGCACACAATCAAATCTGACAAATGATGAAGAACGAATTCTATTGAATCGACAGCAGGCTGGCTGGCCAGCTCGCATGCTTCACTCGCAGAACTCGCCTAGGTGTTCATGTATATATCACTCTGTGCCCGATGCACCAGCAGGTGCTCATGTTTCTCTCACTCTGTGCACCATGTGATTTTTTACGAGCTGACTTTTGAGTCGACTCAAAAGCCAGCAGGTGCTCATGTTTCTCTCACTCTGTGCACGGTGTGATTTTTTACGCGAATCGAAAGTAAACACTGTGCCCAATTCAGTCTAAAATCACTTCCCGAAGCCCCCAATGCACTCATGTGTTCCAGCTCAGCATCAACCTGTTCCAACTCAACACTCACTCATTCCACCTCAGCACTCGAGCATTCCACGTCAGCACTCACCTGCTCCAGCTCAGCCTCGTTCTGCATGCTGAACCCACTGGCTGCCAGCTGTCTGTCCAGAGGCCCTGTCCCTGCCACCGTCCCCACCACCTCTCTCCGCCCTCCCCTCCTCCCACCCCCTCTCCTCTCCGCCTTCCTCCCTGCCACTTCTTCCTTTCTGCTCCCCATCTCTTCGTCACCACCACCACCACCAGCACCACCAGCACTGTCTGAGGGTCCAGCAGCGAGCATGAGCGCCTGCATCACCGCTCTGCACGCCTCCCATTCACCCTCTGCTGCACCTTCTCTCGCCCCTGTTGCTTCTTCTTCCCCCTTTTCAGCCAGCCCAGCATTCGCACCACTCCCCTCCTTCACCCCACTCTTTTCCTCCCCATCAGCACCCTCCTCTCTCACACGTCCCTCCTCCTCCCCAACACCCGCCTCATCTGCTGCCCCATCCTCTGCTCTCTCTCTCGCCCGTTCCACCAGTGCCTTTATGGCTGAAAACGAAGGCCTCCATGTGCCCTCGTCGTCGTCCTCCTCCTCCTCTTCCTCCTCCTCTTCCTCCTCTTCCTCTTCCTCTTTCTCCTTTTTCTCATCTTTCTCCTTTTCCTCCTCTTTCGCCTCCCCTTTCTTTGCCTTGTCCCCATCGTCATTCTCCCGTTCACCATTTTCTCTCTCTTCCTTGTTGCTTCTCTCTCCACCTGGCGAGAGAACACGAGTAGAGAGGGACAAACGAGTGTTCAGAATAAAGGATGAACAAAACGATGCAGCGTGGTGCGAAGGTGTTGACTCGAAGTAGGGCAATCAGAGGGATGCAGGGCGGTGAGGAAAGCACGGGACGAGGTGAGCGAGAAGGAAAGAGCGGAAGGGCAGGAGAAGGGTGGTGCAGGGGTGGTGAGATTAAGCGACAAGAGGGAAGATGGTAGCGAAGTTGGAGTGGAGGGTAGATGCAGAAAAATGATGGAGGGAAGGGCAGAGGGGAAAACACAGGCGAGGGAAGCGCAGTGGTGGGCATTGCAGAGGGGTTAGACAGCAAAGAAATGAAGGGCTGAGGGGGTAACAGCATAGGATTGAAGGGCAGAGGGGGAAAAATAAGAGAAGGGAAGGGTGGAAGAAGCACACCTGACAGAGCTAGAGCGCTTTCCAAGGCTGGGTCTTGAGGTCTCCTGGGGGCGAAGTTGAAGCTGCGAGGGGCAGGTGGACGAAGGGGCGTTGAGAGGTTGGGGGGTTGGGGGGAAGGTGGAGGGTTGGGTCTTGAGGTCTCCTGGGGGCGAAGTTGAAGCTGCAAGGGGGAGGTGGAGGAGGCGAGGTGAGGAGTCGTGGGAGGGTTGAGTATGGGGCGGGGATGGGAGGGAGGTGGGCCGGGTATATGACAAGACAGCGCATGAGAGATTGAGTGAGATAGTGCTAAAAGAAACTCTACACAGATAGGCTCTACACAGACGGGGTTAAGTCATTGGGATGCGTGGCTGGTGAGATTTGAGAGGTCTCAGAAGCACCATGAGTGAGTTCTGAGTATGTTTTTTGAGAATTCTCAAAAAACTTAATGAGATTTGAGAGGTCTCAGAAGCACCATGAGTGAGTTCTTCGACCTGGCTGGCGTCAGCCAAAAACCTTGAAGACCCATTCCCCGCCGCGAGTCAAAGCACCTGGTGTGATAATGCATTGCACGAAACACAAGACAGATAGGCTTTCGACAGATGGGGCTAAGTGACCGGTACGCGGGGGTTGCTTACCAGCGGCCAACGAACATGAAGATGCATCATGCATGCACTCCACGTGGCGATCAAAGTACCTGGTCAGAGTTTGTTAATGGAGCTCAAGACAAATTGGCTTCAGACAGATGGGGGGCTCAGCGATTGCCGGGGTTGCTTACCGGCAGCCAAAGAACTTGAAGATGCACTCCACGTCGCGATCAAAGTGACTTTTGAGTCGACTTAAAAGTCATCAAGATCCACTCCTCGTCGCGATCAAAGTATGCGGTGGTGAGAGCGCGTGGAATGGATCTAAAGAAAGACAGGCTTTCGACAGATTGGGGGGGGCTCAGTGACTGCAGTGCGTTGTGGGTTGCTTACCGTCTGCCAAAGAACTTGAAGATGCACTCCACGTCACGATCAAAGTACCTGGCGCGGTGAGAGAGGTGGGGCCACAGGGAGGCGGTGCGGTGGGAAGAATGATTATACAGACGTTGTGAAAGAGAAGGGAATGAAGGGGGGTAACTGCGGCAGGCAGGGACTTGCATGCAGACAATCAACAGGAAACTAAAAAAGAGTGTTTAGACATGGGTGCACGTGCACTGCAACTGATGTGCATGAGTCTGTTTTTGAGTCGACTAAAAAACGGAAGAGTGTTTAGACATGGGTGCACTGCAACTGATGTGCATGTGATGTGAGAGGGTGCGCGCATTACATCTTGGCGTTGTGGTGGGAGATGGAGTCCATCTGAGGGAAGAATGTGCGCAAGGGGATGATGTGCGCATCGCATGCGTGCATGAGCGCATGTGTCAAAGGGGTGAGCGCATTACATCTTGGCGTTGCGGTGGGAAATGGAGACCATCGAGGGAAGTCAATCATTGTTATGTTCTCCTCCTCGTCCACCTGATGCCATGCCATGTTGTGCCATGCCATGCCGTGCCGTGCCGTGCCGTGCCATGCCATGCCATGCCATGCAAAGTACAGAGGCGGAAGACCATACATTGCAACAGGAAAGACATACGGATATCAAATCTGTGTTTTCAAATGGGAATGAACCGTCGGCTCTCTGCTAAATGCTCGTTGTAGTCACATGCAAGGCTCACTAATAATTGTAATGAATTCGACACCAAAAGGTTCAACTCGTTAAAGTCACTCACAGAAAACATGAGCCTCTTGAAAGCTCACATTAGAATCATTACAGTCAACCAAAATAACGCTCAAAACATCTCAGCCAATCGCACGCAGGTTCGACTTCTTACAAGCAGATTGAACTCGTTAAAGTCACAGTCACTCACAAGCAGGTTGAACTCGTTAAAGTCACAGTGGATGAGCCCAACGGCTGTCAGGCGGATGATGAGGGAGAGCACTTGATCAAACACCACCTGCGGCCGCTGTAATGCGCGCACCTGCACGCTGGGGGGGGGGGAGAGGGGCTTGAGGAGTGAGCAGCAGGAGGAGAGGCGAATGATGAGGGAGAGCGATTCTGAGGCGCCTCAAAAGAGAGCACCTGATCGAACACCCCCTGTGGCCGCTGCAGTGCCCGCACCTGGTGTGGGGGGGGGGGGGGGGGGAGGGAAAGAAGGGGCCGGGGGGTTTCGGAGGTAGTGAGGCTGGAGGGAGGCAGGTAAAGGGAGACGGTTGGTTGAGAGAAAGGCGGGGAGCAGGAGAACGGTTGACGCAGCTTGCCCAAATGCTGCACCCGAAGAAAAGTTTTGGTGAGGAACCATGAGGGTACATGCAAGGATCCATGAGGGTACATGCAAGGATCCATGAGGGTACATGCAAGGATCCATGAGGGTACATGGAAGGATCCATGAGGGTACATGCAAGGATCCATGAGGGTACATGCAAGGATCCATGAGGGTACATGCAAGGATCCATGAGGGTACATGCGAGGATCCATGAGGGTACATGCGAGGATCCATGAGGGTACATGCGAGGATCCATGAGGGTACATGCGAGGATCCATGAGGGTACATGCAAGGATCCATGAGGGTACATGCAAGGATCCATGAGGGTACATGCGAGGATCCATGAGGGTACATGCAAGGATCCATGAGGGTACATGCAAGGATCCATGAGGGTACATGCAAGGATCCATGAGGGTACATGCAAGGATCCATGAGGGTACATGCAAGGATCCATGAGGGTACATGCAAGGATCCATGAGGGTACATGCAAGGATCCATGAGGGTACATGCAAGGAACAAAGTGTGTGGCAGGTGTCTAGTGATGGTAGCAATGATGACGCAATGATTACAGCAATGATGACGCAATGATTACAGTGGAAAGGCCTTGACGAGGGTCATGATGACGCAGTGGCGGTTGCAGTCGATGGCGCCTGGCACCGGGAAGCCCCTCTCGCTCAACGCCTGCTAGCACCGCACAGCACAGCACAGCACAGCACAGCACAGCACAGCACAGCACAGCACAGCACAGCACAGCACAGCACAGCACAGCACCGCACAGCACAGCACCGCACAGCACAGCACCGCACAGCACAGCACAGCACAGCACAGCACAGCACAGCACAGCACAGCACAGCACAGCACAGCACCGCACCGCACAGCACAGCACAGCACAGCACAGCACAGCACAGCACAGCACAGCACCGCACCGCACAGCACAGCGCAGCACAGCACAGCACAGCACCGCACAGCACAGCACAGCACAGCACAGCACCGCACCGCACAGCACAGCACCGCACAGCACAGCACCGCACAGCACAGCACAGCACAGCACAGCACAGCACCGCACAGCACAGCACCGCACAGCACAGCACAGCACCGCACCGCACAGCACAGCACCGCACAGCACAGCACCGCACAGCACAGCACAGCACAGCACAGCACCGCACAGCACAGCACCGCACAGCACAGCACAGCACAGCACAGCACAGCACAGCACAACACAGCACAGCACAGCACAGCACAGCACAGCACAGCACAGCACAGCACAGCACAGCACAGCACCGCACAGCACAGCACAGCACCGCACAGCACCGCACAGCACCGCACCGCACAGCACAGCACAGCACAGCACAGCACAGCACAGCACCGCACAGCACAGCACCGCACCGCACAGCACAGCACCGCACCGCACAGCACAGCACAGCACACAACGCGATAAAATTGTCGTCAATTCTAAAGAACTCGCCTTGAAACCGAGTTAAAAAGTACTCGACTCGATTCGGTCGAGTGGTTTTGCCTAGTAACAACAATCGAAACTCAGAAACTTTAGTAAAAAAAAAGGTTTGAGTAACAACTCGACTCGAAATCTCATGCCTACTCCCACCCTCCCCTCCCGCTCTCATCCTTGGAGAAACAAGTAAACCTTGGGGTAGATGAGGGGGAACCTTTCAGAATGGAACCTTGGGGAAGGGGAGCTTAGGGGAGGGGGAACCTCACCAGAGAAGGTGCAGACGTTGAGGAAGGCGAAGGTGAAGCAGAGAGAATGAACACGTACAGAGAAACCATCATTTCAAAGATGCACCTCAAGCGAGCGAGGGTGATGCTGAGGGGACAAAGGGAGCTCCTTGAGGAGGGCGAGCGAGGGAACACCTTGAGGAAGGCAAACTCCTTGAGGGCGGCGAGGCGCGAGAGGTAGAGCCAGTTGTGAGCGCGGCGGTGGCGCAGGTAGTCCCGCTTGGCCTTCACGTTGCGGAAGGATGTGCGCCCCAACCGGTGCAGCTTCATCACCATCACCTCGCCCTCCGGCCCCTCCACCTCGTATATGTCTGGAAGTGGGGGGAGGGGATTGGGGATGAAAGGGGGGGGAGTGGAGGAGAGGAACGGAGGGGGGGGGAAGGTTTGAGCTGACTAAAAAGTCAGCAGATTCATCACCATCTACTCGCCCTCCAGCCCCTCCACCTAGTATATGTCTGCCCTGATGAGAGGAAGGGGAAGGAGGGAGGGTTTGAGCAAGAGATGGACGGACAGACAAACAGAGGGAGGGGGGGAAGGGTTCAAGATCGTCACAGACCCAATTCTCCCACCCACCCACGCATCGGAATCTCTGCCCCATCACCACTCCTCATCATTCCCCACCCACGCACCGGACTCCTTTCCCCTTCCCACCGCTCCTAACCGCTCCCCATCCCCACACACCAGACTCCATTCCTCCCCACCGCTCCTCACCGTTCCCCACCCCCACTTACCGGACTCCTTGCCGACGCCGATCTGGGGCCCCACGCCAGCCACGGTGCCGCGGTTGACGAGCGCCTTGATCGCCAAAAAGTCGTACCCCAGATTCGTGAGGCGGTACCCATCGTCTGGCATGTGAAGGGAAGGGGGAGAGGACAAGGGGGGAATGAGAGTGGATTGGCATATGGGGGATTGGCGGGGTAGACAGCCCATCATCAAACGTTGTAGCCGAGGTTCGTCAGCCGGTGCCCGTCGTCTGCCCGGGGGTGGGGTGTTGGGGGGAAGAGGAAAAAAGGAAATAGGAGAGTATTTGGTGACAGCTGAAAAGTTGTACCCCAGGCTTGTCGACCGGTAGGGGGGGGGCAAGAGAGAAGGGGAGTGGATTGGGGTATGGGGGAGCAAGTGTGGCGGATGAGGCACGAGTGGATGGAATGAGAGCAGACGGAGAGAAAAGAATTGTTGAAATGGCGGATAGAAAGCGAGGGTCGGAGAGGAGAGCGAGGAGGGTGGACAGGCAGGCAGGCAGGCAGGCAGGCGCGCGCGTTACACTTGGTGCAGTCGTGGTGCACGAGCTTGTGCCTCAGGGGCTTTGAGCATTCTCAAAAAGTGACTCCATATAAGAGAGAGGGAGAGGGAGGAGAGGAGCAAGGGGGCGAAGAGGAAAGAGCAAGCAGGGGGCGAGGAGGGCAGGCAGGCGGGCCGGCAGGCGGGTGAGACATACACTTGGTGGAGTCGTGGTGCACGAGCTTGTGCCTCAGCCGCTTTGAGGGGAGGGAGGAGAGGGAAGAGAGGAGCGAGCGGAAGAAGAGGAGAGAGCAAGCAGGGCGCGAGGACGGCAGGCGGGCGGGTGGGACATACACTTGGTGGAGTCGTGGTGCACCAGCTTGTGCCTCAGCAGCGTGTTCAGCGCCTTGTACGCCCCGCCCCGCCTGGCAGGCGCGCGGGAGAAAGGGGGAAAAGGGGGGGAAAGAGGAGCAGCGCATGGAGCAGCATGGTCAGCGAGGCGAAGAAGGTGTGGGCGCACGGGGGTTTTGGCAGGGTTTCGGGTAGAGGAGTGGGCGTGGCGAATGGGAGGGGGACGGGGGGGGGAGGGACTTGAACGAGTTTGAGAGAAGAATCGATCGGCGAACAAGGTTCGAGCGCGGAACGCGATGGAGTGGAAAGTGGAAGGGGGGCCGGGTTCAAGAGCGGTTCAGGGTTTAATGACTCGTCAGGAGCCAAGATCGCGAGCGCATTCCGGGGTGCATCGCGGTTGAGAGGTTTAAGGGGCGGTGACGGGGAGGCGGCTCACTTGAGACTGGCGATTCGCTCCACGAGCTCTGACGGCACGATCTCGTGCTGCCACGTGTGTACAACAGGGCACGGGATGTGGGGAGGGGAAAAGGGGGAAAGAGGGGAGAGTGGGTGCGGAGGGTGGCGGAGGATGGGAGGGATCTGGTTTTGGACGCTTTTCTAAGCGCGCGGCCTAAAATGGGCTCTGAAGCGACGGCGGTGCCCAATCATGCCGTCTATCATGAAGCGAGGCTAGCGAGGTGACTTTTGAGTCGACTCAAAAGTCATGAAGCGATGCTAGCGAGGTGCCGCAAGGTAAGCGCGCAAGGGAGTTTGGGCTACAGACTGTGGCGCCTGTTGGGCTACAGACTGTGGCGCCTGTTGGACACAAAAACCGTCACGTTGTAGGCTCCGCGCGCTGCCTAAACACAAGAAAGCCGTCGCCAGATTGGAACTGGCTTCGACACGCCTGACTCGATCCTCGTTGGTGAACGGAGTCGGTCCAAGCAACACTGTAATCTGTTCTGTCCTGAGGAGCCTAGCGAAAAGAGATTCGCGCGGACGGACGTACGTTGCGCATGCCCATTTCGACGGCGGTGAGCACGCGGAACTCGTCCTTGGACAGGTACCGCAGCGCGTTCACGTCGAACTTCATCGCGCCACGCTGCTGCTGCTGCTCGCCGGCACGGCGGCTTGGAGCGCCGGCGTGCTTGCTGGGTGTAAGCGGATCAACGACAAAGAGCAACGCGTTTAGCAGCAGCGCACTGGAGCACCTAGCAAAGCAACTACCAGAGAGCACAGAGCACCTAGCTAAACATCGGAGCTTCGGAAGCACCCCAAATACCACAAACAAGGGAGTCGGGGAAAGTCGAAGGAGAATGCATCGGTTGTTGGCTCTGGTGTGTGGTGAAGAGCTTTTAATGTTAACTCGTAATTTTTTTCCAGCTCCTTTACTCCCCCTAACCGCACTAAATCTCACCCTCTCTACCCATCCCAACCCCTCCAATTTCTCTACCAACTATGCTGCAACACCAATTCGCGATCGCGTTGCGAATTTACCCGTTGCCGCTAGAACACTGATGAACGCTTGGCCAAGCGTATTCCTCGCATATGAGACAGGCTCAGGCGAGCTTAAAGCTGCAGTATACATTTGAAATGTTGGGTTCAAAAACTTTTGAAATTTGAAAAGTTGCCCCAAAGCTGTGAGGCACACAATAAAAACCCTAAACCCGGCTGACAAATGTATACTGCAGCTTTAAAGCGTATGGACGCTAGCGGGCATACGCACAAAGAGGGCCGCGGCTGAATACTCGCCTGCAGCAATTCGTGTTCCTGGAGAGAGATGTTCCTCGCGAGGCGAGTACTGGCCTCGCCGCGAGTATCTTCGTACTCGCGGCAAGTGAATAGATTCTCGCCTTTTTGGTCGAGTAACGACTCGGCCGATGGCGTAAATCACGCAAACCGAGAAATACTCGTCTTGCGTCGTTACTCGAACGAGTCTGGCAAAACCGAGGCGAGTGTAACTCCGCTCACTGTTTCCCCACGTGTAGATGAGAAGCATGAGGATCCCAGCACTGCGCGGCAGCGGCAGCAGCAGTTGCAGCAGCAGCAGCAGCAGCATGGCGCGGCGCAGCACGGGGGATCCCCCCACTCCAGCGGCGTGGCAGCATCGCCACTTTTTCAGGCGCCTCAAGAGGCGCCTCAAGAATCGCAGGAGGGGGGATCCGTCCAGTCCAGCAGCGAGCGAGCATCGGCCATGGTGGAGCACATCCGGTCCATGATCCGCTTCCGCGGCGGGCCCATCAGCGTCGCCCACTACATGGAGCAGGCGAGTTGCGCTTTGATCAAAACTTGTGAGACGTCTGAAAACATTTCAGACGTCTCAAGGCCCTGTCAGCGTGGGCGACTACATGGAACAGGCGAGTTGCCTTTGAGTCGACTCAAATCTTCTGAGACGTGTCCATCCGCCCACTCACGCCCTTGCATTCCCTCACCCGTGCATGGATGCACACTCCACTCCACTCCATTCCACTCCACTCCACTCCACTCCATTCCACTCCACTCCACTCCACTCCACTCCATTCCACTCCACTCCACTCCACTCCACTCCACTCCATTCCACTCCATTCCCACTCCATTCCATTCCACTCCATTCCCACTCCATTCCACTCCACTCCATTCCACTCCACTCCACTCCACTCCACCCACACCACACTAGCGTGCAACCCGCCCTCCCTCTCCGTCCGCCTCCCTCCCCCGTACGCGCGCTACATTCTACCCCATGCAGGTGCTAACGAGCAGCAGCGCGGGCGGGTATTACATGCAGAGAGACGCCTTTTGAGACGCGTCAAGAGAGTGCATCCCGCCCTGCTTCCCCCTCCCCCTCCCCCTCCCACACACAATCCCAGGTATTAACGAGCAGCAGTGCGGGCGGGTATTACATGCAGCGGGACGTGTTCGGCAGGGAGGGCGACTTCATCACGTCGCCTGAAATCAGCCAGATGTTCGGCGAGGTGCGGTGGGCATGTGGAGGGGTTGAGCCGGGGAAGGGAGGCGGGGTGGTGTTGTGAGTGCAGTGAGGAGTGCGTGTGGTGTGGTTGGGTGCATGGGTGCATGGGTGGGTGCATGGGTGCATGGGTGCATGGGTGCATGGGTGCATGGGTGCATGGGTGCATGGGTGCATGGGTGCATGGCAGGCGTCACTGGCACTCGGATAGATTGGAGCGCTGGTTTGAATTCACTCGCACGTGCGTGCTCGCAATTCTCATGAACCCAAGCGCACTCCTACACTGTCTGTCTGTTCCCCGCGTGCACGCTTCCTTGTCTTGTGTGTGACTGCAAATGTGCCTGCCGGCACTCCGTCACACTCGCTTTCCCACCATGCTCACGCACATGCCATCTCAGGACGACACTGAGGGTAGCCCATGCCAGCGTGGCCCATGCCAGGGTGGCCCATGCCAGGGTGGCCCATGCCAGGGTGGCCCATGCCAGGGTGGCCCATGCCAGGGTGGCCCATGCCAGGGTGGCCCATGCCAGGGTGGCCCATGCCAGGGTGGCCCATGCCAGAGTGGCCCATGCCAGGGTGGCCCATGCCAGGGTGGCCCATGCCAGCGTGGCCCATGCCAGGGTGGGCGCAGCTCAATTCGTCATCGCTCCACTGCTCCCTATCCCTCGCCCTCCCTTTCCCCCTGATCCTCCCCCTGCTCCTCCCCCTGCCCCTCTCCCTGCCCCTCCCCCTGCCCCTGTCCCCCATCACCCCCATCAGATGGTGGCGGTGTGGGCGATGATGGCATGGCAGCAGCTGGGAGCGCCCCCTCGAGTGCACCTGGTGGAGCTGGGGCCAGGCAGAGGGACGCTCATGGCCGACCTGCTGCGCGTGAGTCGTGGGATAGTGGTGGTACGAGGTGCAGTGCGGTTGTGTTCTGAGTCGACCCCTCTAGAGTGCGACTTGTGGAGCTGGGGCCGGGCAGAGGCACGCTCATGGCCGACCTGCTGCGCGTGAGTCCTGTTTGTTGCAACCTTGGGTGGTGTTACACGGTGCAGTGCGGTTGAACTTCGAGTCGACTCCCCTCGAGTGTGCCTGGTGGAACTGGGGCCGGGCAGAGGCACGCTCATGGCTGACCTGCTGTGCGTGAGTCCTGTTTGAAGGTAGCTTGGTTGGTGGTAGTATTAGTGGTGTTACACACGATGCAGGGCGGTTGAGAGGTTTGTCCACATCATCAGTGCAAGGATCGTTGTTAGGTGTACAGGAGCCACGCTGGAGAATTCTTAGAGGGTGGTTGTTAGGGCTACAGGAAGCAACGTGTTGGATCCCGTTCACGGTGTCACTGTTGTCTCCCTTCTCCCTTCTCCCTTCTCCCTTCTCCCTTCTCCCTTCTCCCTTCTCCCTTCTCCCTTCTCCCTTCTCCCTTCTCCCTTCTCCCTTCTCCCTTCTCCCTTCTCCCTTCTCCCTTCTCCCTTCTCCCTTCTCCCTTCTCTCGCCCCGCGCACGCTCCTGCTGCTCCTGCGGTCGCTCCTCACTTGCGCCTTCGCACCGAATCCCCTCATTCCCGGCTGAATTTACAGCCTTCACTGCAGTGGTATAGGTTTGTAGGTGCACCTGGTGTAGGTGCACCTGGTGTTGGGGCCACTAGTTCTTAACTCCCCTCTGCCTCCTCACTGGCTTCCCTCCCCCAGTCGTCCGCCAATTGTTCACACGCCCCCTTCAAAAGGGCGGTGGAGGTGCATCTGGTGGAGGTGCATCTGGTGGAGGTGCATCTGGTGGAGGTGCATCTGGTGGAGGTGTGTCTAGAGCTCCACTTTGGCCCTCCATCATCCCTTATTCCTCCCCTCCGCCCTCCCTATCCCCCGTCCCCCAGTCATCCGCCAAGTTCACCCCCTTCAGTGCAGCAGTGGAGGTACATCTGGTGGAGGTGAGCCCGGCTCTCAGGCGCCTGCAGTGGGCCGCCCTAAAATGCAACCCTGCAGACGCGGAAGAGGGGAGGGCGGATGATGGTGGGGCGCAGAGGGGGAGGGCGGATGATGGGGGAGCGGAGGAGAGGAAGGTGGAGTGGAGCGGAGTGGCGTCAGCAAGTGGAGCAGCAGTAGCAGCAGAAGCAGACGGGCTTGACCCGCAAGGGTCACCATCTGCAGAGGCACCATCGCAACCACAATCACCCTCATCCTCACCATCGTCCTCCTCCTCCTCCTCCTCCTTATCACCATCATCACCACCATCACCACCACCACCATCATCACCAACATCACCATCACCACCACCACCATCATCACCATCCCCAGAAACAGCGGCAGCAGATGTGGCATTCCCAGGGACGGGAGTGTCGGGGCTGAGTGGAGCCACAGTCACATGGCACTGTGCTCTGGAGGACGTTCCTGAGGGAGGTGAGACATGCGTGCTGCAATTGTCTTGATTAGATACTGCGATGGCGCCTTCCTTCCATCCCCCACGCATGCACAGAAAAAACAAACAAACAAACATACAAACAAACAAACAAACAAACAAACAAACAAACAAACAAACAAACAAACAAACAAACAAACAAACATACAAACAAACAAACAAACGAACAAACAAACAAACAAACATACAAACAAACAAACAAACAAAAATCTTCCGCTTTCCCTTGCTTCTTCGATGCTTATCCTTGTCTGCTTTACCTCACCCTTCTATTCCTCTCTCTTTTCTCCCCCCTCAGTGCCCACCATCGTCATCGCACACGAGTTCTTTGACGCCCTGCCCGTGCACCAGTTCCAAGTGAGCCGCCACTCCAATTTTCATTGCATACACGCGTTCCAGTTCCAATTCTCACTGCATACCAGTCCACCAATCCCAAGGGAGCGTGCAACAGTGTTGAATGCTTGTACAGTGTTGAATGCTTGTACCGTGTTGAATGCTTGTACTGTGTTGAATACTTGTACCGTGTTGAATGCTTGTACCGTGTTGAATGCTTGTACCGTGTTGAATGCTTGTACCGTGTTGAATGCTTGTACCGTGTTGAATGCTTGTACCGTGTTGAATGCTTGTACCGTGTTGAATGCTTGTACCGTGTTGAATGCTTGTACCGTGTTGAATGCTTGTACCAGTGAGTTGTGGGCGCACCTGTGAGCTTGTGCTTGCAAGTCGTGACTCGCGAGTGAGCCTGTGCGGTCAGCAGGCATTATGAGATGGAGGTTCTCCTCCTTTTTCATGCTGTCTCTTGCTGTCACAACCAAGCATGGTCTTCTGTGCCATGATACGGCATGCTATGGCATTGGCTGGACATTGCATTGCATGTTATCGCGCTGGCTTGACATTGCATGGCATGGCAGAAAACGGAGAGAGGGTGGTGTGAGAAACTGGTTGATGTGGCAGAACTGGACAAAGAAGGCCATCCATCTGAAGCCCACTCCAACCCGAGCCATGCACAAAAGGACACCAGTGGCCATCCATCTGCCGACTACCCTTTCCGTTTCGTCCTCTCCCCCGGGCCGACTGCGGCAAGCACTCTTTGTCTTCTTCCTCGCATGCAATGGGCTCCACCGGAGGAGCGGGCGGCAGCCGTCCACGTGGAAGTTTGTCCTATAGCAGTGAAGATTGCGCTGCAGATCACGGAGAGGGTGGCGAGAGACGGTGGGGCGGCGCTGATAGTGGATTACGGGGAGGACAGAATGATATCAGACAGCCTTCAGGTGCGCTTTGAATCTTCGCGTATCTCCGCCTCATTTTCTCTAGTTCTCCTCTTCTTCCCTCACTCGCTCTTTCTCCCCTCAGGCCATCTATTAGCACGAGTTTATTGTACTTTCTCACTCACCTGCACTCTGACTCTCTCGCTCCTCTCCTTCCCTCCCTCACTCATGCTCCGTCTCGCGCCCCCCAGGCCATCCGCACCATGAGTTTGTGAATGTGTTGGATGCACCCGGCACAGCAGATCTGAGTGCCTATGTGGACTTTGAGTCGACTCAAGTATCATGCTCACTCCTGCGCCTCCCACACCCCCCAGGCCATACGCAAGCATGAGTTTGTGAATGTGCTGGATGCGCCTGGCTCGGCGGACCTGAGTGCCTATGTGGACTTCGCTGCCCTCCGCCAAGCCGTCACCGACTCCAACTGTGAGTGCCACTCTGCCTCCAGTACCTCTATGCAAACCTCATGGTAGCTATGGGGACTTCTTGTTAATCATAGGGGGCTCTTATCAACTAGAGGAAATTTAGGTAGAATTGCTACAGTGAGAACTTAATGATTACATCCCCGCTATGGGATTCTCACCATGAGAACATCACACTTGTTCCCCTATTGCGCCGCCGTTGACCCTTCTCTCACTCCAATGATTCGTGTGCATGGCAGGACCCCCTTGCCCCTTCCTTATGCGCCATCTCTCCCCCCATTTCCTTCCTTCTCATTCCTCACAGTGCCGGCTCGGGCATATGGCCCGATCACCCAGTCACAGCTGCTGGGGCGGCTGGGCATCAACTTTCGAGTGGAGGCGCTGCTGCGAGTGGCGTCGGAGCAGCAGGCGGAGGCTCTCAGGGACGGGTACTGGCTCCTCGTGGGCGATGGGGAACCCCCGTGGCTCGATGAGGACGATGATGAGAGGGAGGGCGAGGAGGGGGAGAGAGTGGAGAGGGAGGGGGAGGTGGGAGTGCGTGGGGCTGATGGTGGGGCAGGTGGGGGTGAGAGTAATTCGTCTGGGGAAGGTGGTGGTGGTGGTGGTGGTAGCAGTGGGAGGAGGTCGTTTGAGGGCATGGGGTCGAGGTACAAGGCTCTTGTGATTGCGAGTGACAAGTTAGGAGTGCCAGTTGGATTCGAATGACCTTGTGTGTTCTGCCTTATGGTACAGTCACACAGCGTGTTTATTGCACAAACTGCTCACTCCTTGCGGACATGTATGTACCAGTACCTATCCTTGCATGCAGAGTGAGAGAATCCGGTGGGGTTGCTTTCCGGCAAGCCGAGGCACTGAAATCGCATGCGGCTGTTGAGGATGCTCTTGGCGTGTTGGTTTGGTGTGACTTTGTGCCAGGCTGCCTCAGAGGCATGCTTCTGTCTGTGTGCTGCATGAATCTGGTATGCTTCTGTCTGTGTGCTGCATGAATCTGGTATGCTTCTGTCTGTGTGCTGCATGAATCTGGTATGCTTCTGTCTGTGTGCTGCATGGAACTGGTATGCTTTCATACATCATGTCAACAAAACAGACTTGGAGGCGAGCTCCTATCAGCCATATGTGGGATACCATGTCAAGCTCTGGAGCACCCGTTAGAAATTCTTAGTACGGTAGGTATTACTTACTTCACCGTAACACCAATCTCATGCACCATCTACACCACACCGGTAACCAGTGAAATGGACATCAGACAGCCTGACTCATGAGCAACAAGCACACCATGATGCAGCATCAGCTCAACACCTAACATCCACTAGGTCTGATCTGAGCCCCAGGCTCTAAAAGCACCAACTATATCACTCAAGAGAACACGACAACCTTCTCATCCGCGCCGTACCGCTCCCACACGCCTCCGAACGCCCAGTTCTCGAACCCGCCATTGCCAAGATTCTCCACGGAGAACGCGCCCTGCTTGAAGTAGACGGTGAACTCGGAGTTATCCCAGAAGTGCCACACCTCCACCTGCACGGATTCCGGGTCGCCCTGCACGGAGTGGTCGCTCTGAATGACCATCACGTTGTACCCCGCGTTCATAAATAGATCCACGATCTTCGTCGTCACCTCGTCGTCATTCGGACCGTCGATCGTGCCCAGGCTGCCGGCTTTGATCTGATCCACGGTCACGCCGTCCCAGCTGAAGAGTTTTCGGCGCTCCACCCTCTGCGGGGACACGGCGGAGTCCGCGTGGGCGAGCGCACGGCGGGCGACGCCGCGCGTGGCGGAGGGGGATGCGTGAAGGACGGGCCGCGCGGCGCTGGCGCTGGTGACGGCGAGGAGCAGCAGGAAGGCGAGAGGAAGGGGAAGCAGGTTGCGGCCTGAGTGGAGCCGCGCGGTGCAACTAGAAGTAGCAGCCATGAAAAACTTCTCAGATGCTCAGATCTCGGTGAAAAGCTTGTAAGAAAAGTAGCGGCAATGACAAGGTGAGCTTGCACGCGAATGCGATGGTTTCAGGAGCGAAGCACAGTCGAAAAATGATGCTGTTAGCAGAGCCGTGATCGGTATGCACGAACGACTCTAATACGAAAAGGAAGGAGAATGGAGGGAGAGAATATGGAAGATGTGATAACTATGTCGAGCTGAGCATCTGATTTATAGGCCTTGGCACTCTCTGAGTCTGAGACATGGAAAATCAACCTTCCAGTCGCTCTCAGACACGAGCGCGGCTTGCGACTCGCTTGAGCCGTCATGGCTATCCCCGCAAGCGGACTCCGTCGCGACGCACGCGAAGGGACTCTGACGTGTGGACTACGCTCAGACTTGACTGATACGCAACGATTTAATGGGGTTTCTTCAATGTGACAGGCTGCGGTAGGAGCAATAACTAGTGCAGGGGTAGCTACTGGGAATGCCAGTGCAATAGGCGTGGTGCGAGCAGGCGAGGTGAAGCGTGTTGTGGGGTGGAAGGAAGTGGGTTGGTGCTCGAGGTGGGGTGGAAAGGTTGCTTCGCTACTGAAATGTAGGCGGGACCAGCTCACGGAAGCCCTTCAGAATGAACATTTTGCTAAAGTGGGTATAATCATTTGGATGAACACTGGTGTACGCGGTACGGAGCTCATGTGTGAACTTGAATCGATTCGTGATTTGTTGGAATGTGCAGTTACAACTGGGTTTCTCACACATTACCGCTTTGGAACGCAACACACCGAATGAACCTGTGCTTCAAGAGTTCCGAACCATCGGCAACAAACCTTGGTCGGAGAAACAGTTCGATCTCCTTCCCAATATCTCATCACTCTCACCACATCTCACCACTCACCACCACTTTCCACCCACCATCCACCACCATTCACCTCACCACCACCACCCGCCACCGTGAATTTTGCCTAGGCTTTGTGTTTCTTGAATTCAAGCTCCCTCCCTCCCCCTTGTCTTACTCCCTTGTCTGCATTCCAAAGCCCCTCATCACGACATTATTTAGATACGGTACCTGCACACCCTGCTCTCTCCGCGACCGACCAAGGATGAAAGCTCGCGACGACGGACGCAAGGTCCTTTGTCGGCCCGTCTGCTCAATGGACGGCGACGGACTTGACGGTGACTGGCTTCATGACGACACGTATGACGGAACCCGTCCACAACCCGCAGCTAGGCCTTTCCGGCACCTATGCATCGCGTTTAGCAGCCGCCAGTTCGCCGCTGAAGAGTCTCAGTTTGTGCGGAGAGTGACTGATCCGACGATCCAGATTGGACCGAATGAGCCGCCCGACGACAGCATACTGACTCGATTGGCCATCGATCATCAATCGAGTCTCGAGTTTTGACACGAGAGCGCAATCGAAATCTCAACTCTCGACTTGCGATGGGTACGACATCCGATGTGCCGTGGTCTGTTGCTGACCATCGCGGCGTCAACAGTCTTACTGCGCTCTACCTGTTGTCAAACTTATATGCTGCTTATTGTGTAGGCTGTAGTGGGGTAGCCCATATGGGGTACAACCCAATTAGGGTTTCCTACTTGTACCCACCTTGCTGCTAGTTCATTCATTCCTCTTCGTACTTCTGACATGGTTTCAGAGCAGGTCCTAGCCTAGGACCGTTTTTTTAGGGCCCACCGAACCGAGCTACCCCACGAATCGCGCCGCCCTGTTAGCGTCGCGCCGCCCTGCCCTGCCCTGCGTCGCGCTGCCGCGCACGCCCTGCCCTGCCCTGCCCGCGCGCTGCTTGCTGCTGCGCGCCCTGCCCTGCCCGCGCGCTGCGTGTCGCCGCGCCGCGCGCCCTGTCTGCGCGCTGCTCGCCGCCGCGCCGCGCGCTCTGCCTGCGCGCTGCTCGCCGCCGCGCCGCGCGCCCTGCCTGCCCGTCGCTCGCCGCCGCGCCGCGTCGCCCTGCTTGCGCGCCGCTCGTCGCCGCGCCGCACGCCCTGCCTGCGCGCCGCTCGCCGCCGCGCGACGTCGCCCTGCCTGCGTGTCGCCGCCGCTGCACGCCCTGCCCTGCCCGCGCGCCGCTCGCCGCTGCGTGCCGTGCCCTGCCCGCGCGCCGCGCGTTGCTGAGCGCCCTGCCCTGCCCGCGCGCCGCCCGCCGTGCGCCCTGCCCTGCCTGCGCGCCGCCCGCCGCCGGCCCTGCCTTGCCAGCGCGCCGCCTGCAGCCGCGCGCCTTGCCCTGCCTGCGCGCCGCCTGCCGCCGGCCCTGCCCTGCCCGCGCGCCGCCCGCCGCCGTGCGCCCTGCCCTGCCAGCGCGCCGCCAGCAGCCGCGCGCCCTGCCCTGCCCTTGCGCCGCTAGCAGCCGCGCTGCCCTTCCTGTGCGCCGCCCTGCTGGCCGCTGCCCTGCCCTGCCCTCCTTGCGTGCTGCCCTGCTGCTAGCACGCCTGCCTGCTATGGCGACCCTGAGCGTCATCACCTTTGATTCTGAGGGCCGCCCGATAGAGTTCGACTCTTGGCTCGATGACTTACAGCTATTCTTACTGAGCGACTCTAAGGACGGTATTTCACTGTTCGACCTCACTTCTGGCGCTTCCGTCGCCCCTTCCGACACAGCTGACAGTGCGACTCGCTCACATTGGCTTACTCGTGACGTTGCTGCTTGCCTAGCCGTTTGCAACCACCTGCCGTTAGCCGAACGCGCTCTTTTGGACAGCACAAGTTGGAAAGCACTGTACGACGCTGTAGTCGCTCGTTACTCCTCCCCGGCCACTGCTGCTCTAGGCCGCCTTCTCCTGCCCTACCTGTTCCCAGAGCTGTCTGCCTTTGCCACAGTAGCCGACCTCGTCACTCACCTTCGCTCTAGTGACACTCGCTACCGCGATGCGCTTCCCGCCGAGTTTCTCACCAAGAACCCTCCTCCCATGTACATCACTCTCTACTTCATAGTCACCTGCCTCCCTGACTCTCTTAGCACTGTCAGGGACCTCCTTCTCACCCTCGAACCCACCACCCTCACTGTTGACCTGCTCGAGAAGCACCTCCTTGCAGCTGAGACCAGCATAGTCGCTGTAGGCGCTTCTCGTGGCACTCCTCGCGCTCCCTTCTTTGAGGGGTGTTCGCCCTCCCCCCTTCTCCCCTCAGTCGCCTCTGCTACAGTTGTTGACTACCTTCGTGCTGAGGAGGTAGGAGCTGCGTCTGCCCCTAGTGGGAGGCGCCGCAGCGGCAGGGGCAGGGGAGGAAGGGGCGGTGGGGGCGGCAGAGGTGGAGGCGGTGGTGGGGGCGGTGGAGGCGGTGGAGGGGGCGGCGGTGGCGGAGGGAGTGGTGGTGGGGGTGGAGGTGTAGGTGGCGGCGGTGGTGGCGGCAGTGGCGGTAGTGGCGGCGGCAGTGGTGGTGGCAGTGGGAGTGGAGGCGGTGGCAGTGGTGGCGGCCGGGGTGGTGCCAGTCAGAGGGGAGGCCTTGGCGGTGGTCAGAGGCAGCAGCAACGTCAGCTTTCGCCGCAGGAGCTACGTGAGTGGTTTGCTCAGCGTGGGGCGGCTGGGGGTAGTGGTCCCTGCCCGTATGTCATTCGCACAGGTGACCGCACTGGTCAGACATGCGGGAAGCTCCACACCCAGTACCGCTGCTTCTCTCGTCTTACCGATGCCTTCCGCGCAGAGTTTCCCGACGCGGCTGAGCTCCCCCGCTGGGCAGAGCTGCTTAGGCAGGGTGTAGACATCTTCGCTCTTGATTATGATGCTATCCTTTCTACCATGTATGCATTGACTGTTAGTGCTGAGGGTGAATGTTACCTGTGTATGCCGCCCGACCCAGGTATAGAGGTCGCTGCTCTAGGTGCTGGTGAGTGTGCTGCTCTAGGTGCTGGTGAGTCTGCTCTCTCTAGTACTGCGCCTCCTGAGGCCTTGCACACCTTCACGCTTGACTCAGGTGCTTCCCGCTGTTTCTTCCGCGACATTACCGCACTCACACCACTCCCAGCACCTGTTGCTGTCTCTATGGCTGACCCCTCTGGGGGCCCAGTCCTTGCTCGTTCCTCCACTTTTCTCCCGTATCCGGCGGTTCCGTCTGGCTCACTGTCAGGTCTTCACCTCCCCTCGTTCTCTATGAACTTGGTGAGCAACGCCGTCCTTCAGGATGTATGGGTTGACACCTTTACTCCAGGAGGTTAACGTGTGGCGATCTGTACGTGCTCCCGGACTGGCCGGCACCTGGCCACGTTCACCCTTGCGCCTAGCTCGAGTCTGTACACACTGACTACTGTGTCTCCTCAGGTAGCTGCGTCTGCGTCTGCGTAAGGTCAGCTAGCGGCCCCCTGCTCGTGTTGCGCTCTGTTGCACAAGACCCTCCTTTGGCACCACCGTCTTGGTCACCCCTCAGTGCAGCGCCTCCGTGGCATGCACTCTCGTCTCCTTGTCTCTGGTCTTCCCAGGACTCTGCCTCCCCTCCCACCCTCGCCTGCCCCTCCCTGCCTTCCCTGTGTCGAGGGGCGGCAGCGCGCCGCTCCTCACTCCTCCTCGTTTCCCCCGACGACTGCTCCCCTGCAGACTCTCCACATGGACGTGTGGGGCCCAGCCCGCGTCCGTGGACAGGGCCGCGAGCGCTACGTTTTGCTGGTTGTTGACGACTACACGTGTTACACCACGGTCTTCCCCTTGCGCAGCAAGGGGGAGGTCCCTGATGTTTTGATCCCTTGGATCCATGCTGTCCGTCTCCAGCTCCGCGAGCGGTTCGAGACGGACCTTCCCGTCCTGCGTCTGCACTCTGACAGAGGTGGTGAGTTTGCCTCCGACCTTCTGCGGGACTTTTGTCGTGGGGAGGGCATTCGCCAGACGTTCACGCTTCCGGCCTCTCCGCAGCAGAATGGGGTTGCTGAGCGCCGCATTGGCTTAGTCATGGAGGTCGCTCGTACCTCCATGATCCATGCGGCTGCCCCCCATTTTCTGTGGCCGTTTGCGGTCCGATACGCTGCGCATCAGCTCAACCTCTGGCCCCGAGTCTCCTTGCCGGAGACCTCGCCGACACTGCGTTGGACGGGAGAGGTTGGCGACGCGTCGGTGTTCCGGGTCTAGGGATCTCGTGCCTTTGTCCGCAATACGTCCGCGGACAAGCTCTCCGCTCGCGCCATTCCCTGTGTCTTCCTTGGTTTCCCCCCTGACGTGCCTGGCTGGCAGTTTTACCACCCCACCTCGCGCCGCGTCCTGCCCTCTAAGGACGTCACGTTCGACGAGTCGGTTCCCTTTTACCGTCTCTTCCCCTACCGCACTGCCCCTCTCCCCCCCCCGCCGCTCTTCCTTGCACAAGGTCCTCCTCCGGTAGACCCCCTCCCCCCTCAGGGTCCTGCTCCCTCAGGTGTGTCTCACGTAGACCCTGTCGAGCCTATCGAGGTCGCTGTTGACTCTGGTGCTGCTAGGGGTGGTGTTGCTGGGGGTGGTGAGCCTTCGCGTGTGGAGCCTGGGGGTGCTGAGACTGAGCGTGCGGAGCCTGGGGGTGCTGAGCCTGAGGTTGCTGAGTCTGGGGGTGCTGAGCCTGGGGGTGCTGAGACTGGGGCTGCTGAGCCTGGGGGTGCTGAGTCTGCTGGAGGTCCTACATGTGTCTCGTCACGGCGGGAGCCTCTCTCTCCACCGCAGCTGCGCGAGTGGTTTGCTCAGCGCTGGAGTCTTCGAAGTGGCGCTGCTGGAGCTGGGGGGTCTGCCGGTGGAGGCCCATGGAGCTGGAGGTACTGGAGCTGCTGGAGCTGGAGGTGCTGCCGGAGCTGGAGCTACTAGAGGTGCTGGAGCCGCGGGTCCCGGAGGTTCTCGTACTGGAGGTACTGGAGCTGCTGGAGCTGGAGGAGCTGCTGGAGCTGGAGCTGCTGGAGGTGCTGGAGCCGCTGGTCCCGGAGGTGCTCGTACTGGAGGTACTGGAGCTACTGGAGCTGGAGCTGCTGATGGTGCTAGAGCTGCTGGAGGTACTGGAGCTGCTGGAGCTGGAGGTGCTGCTGGTGCTGGAGCTGCTGGAGCTGGAGGTACTCGTACTCGAGGTACTGGAGCTACTGGAGCTGGAGGTGCTGCTGGAGCTGGAGCCGCTGGAGCTGGAGCTACTGAAGGTACTGGAGCTGCTGGAGCTGGTAGTGCTGCAGGCGTTGGAGCTGGAGACCCTGGAGCTGGAGGTGCTGGCCCTGGGGGTGTTGGTGCTGTCAGTGCTGGTTCTGGAGGCGCTGTGCGGCCGCGACCGTACTTCGTTCCTCTACTTCAGCAGGTTCTTGGTCTCCCGCCTTCTACTGGCCTTCCTCCCCCCTTACTGTGTCCACCGTCTGACCAGTCACAGCCGCAGTTACAGCCAGCCTCCCCACTACCTGCTCCTTCTCCTTACACTGGGCTGACAGGAGGTCTTGCGGAGCGTCGTGAGCCTGAGTCTCGTCCTGCGTCGCCTGTTCGCGCTGTTCGCACTGGTCGTCGTGTTCCGCGTCCGCGTCCTCCTTCTGTCCCCGGCACGCACCAGATGGCACTTCGTCCCTCCTCTGTTCCACTGCGTGTCCCTCTGCTGTCTCCTCCTGCGTCCTCTCTTCCTGACGTCCCTGACCCGCCGTCAGACCTTGCTCGTGCTGCCAGTCCTAGTGTCACACGTATTCTTGCTACTGCTGTCACTGACCCTTCGTTTGAGTCCACTGCTGCTTGTGCCCTAGTTGCTGAGCTTGTTGACTTTGCTGCTGCCTGCCGCCTAGACTACGCCGCTAATCTTGTTGCTGAGTCTGAGTCTGTCTGTCCTCCGTCCGTCAGGGGTGAGTGCGCTCTTGGCACGGACGTCCTTGAGGACAGGCAGGAGGAATTTGAGTGTTTTGTAGCTGCTGTACCTCATATCGTGTCCATGCTGATTGCACCTGAGGGAGACCCGGATGCACCAGACATCCCGACCCCGCGCTCTTACGCAGATGCGATAGAGGGTCCCTACTCCTCTCAGTGGCAGACAGCCATGGACGCAGAGATGGCATCGTGGACGTCCACAGGCACTTACGTCAATGAGGTTCCCCCATCTGGGGCGAACATCGTCAGTGGCATGTGGATTTTCAGGGTGAAGCGGCCACCGGGTTCTCCGCCTGTCCTCAAGGCGCGTTACGTTGCACGAGACTTCAGTCAGCGACAGGGAGTTGACTTCTTCCAGACCTTCTCCCCAACCCCGAAGATGACCACTCTTCGAGTTCTACTGCACGTCGCCGCTCAGCGTGACTACGAGCTTCACTCTCTTGACTTCAGCACTGCTTTCCTACAGGGCAGCCTGCACGAGGAGATCTGGCTGCGCCGCCCACCTGGCTTCACTGGGTCGTTTCCTCTAGGTACCCAGTGGAGCCTCCGGCGGCCAGTCTACGGTCTCCGCCAGGCGCCTCGAGAGTGGCACGACACACTGAGGACGACTCTTGCGGCTCTTGGGTTTGCTCATTCGACTACTGACCCGTCGCTGTTTCTACGCACCGACACTTCGCTGCCGCCGTTCTACATCCTCGTGTACGTCGACGACTTGGTCTTTGCCAGTGCTGACACTGCTGGACTGGCCCACGTGAAGTCGGAGCTGCAGAAGAGACACACGTGCACAGACGTGGGTGAGCTGCGCAGCTATCTTGGCTTGCAGATCACCCGGGACAGAGCACGGCGCACCATCACCTTGACTAAGTCACACATGGTGCAGCAGGTCCTTCAGCGCTTCGGCTTCGAGTACTCCTCGCCACAGTCCACTCCTCTGCCTACCGGTCACTCGCTCTCAGCTCTGCCTTCGGATGAGTCCGTAGAGCCGAGTGGCCCGTATCCAGAGCTTGCGGGCTGCCTCATGTACCTGATGACCTGCACTCGACCTGACCTTGCTTACCCTCTTAGCATCCTGGCTCGCTACGTTGCGCCCGGGAGACATCGACCAGAGTACTGGAAGGCCGCTAAGAGGGTGATGGGCTACTTGTGCAGTACGTCGGGCATGGGGCTCGTGCTTGGAGGTCGGGCTCGAGTTGTCCTCACTGGTCACGCAGACGCTTCTTGGGTTGACGACTTGGCTACGCAGCGGTCGTCACAGGGTTACACCTTCAGCCTTGGCTCCGGCTCTGTTTCGTGGCGGTCTACCCGCTCGTCTTTTGTTCTCAGTTCCAGTTGTGAGGCTGAGATCTACGCAGGGGCCATGGCTGCACAGGAGTTACGCTGGCTCACCTACCTGCTGACCAACTTGGGAGAGCCGCCTCGTTCTCCTCTAGTTCTGTACGTCGACAACAAGGCCATGATTGCCATGTGTCAGGAGCACAGACTGGAGCACATAACGAAGCACATTGCTCTGCGCTACTTCCTTGCTCGAGAGTTGCAGCAGCGTGGTCAGCTTCGTCTTGTTTACGTGGCCTCTCAGGCCAACACTGCTGATATCTTCACCAAGGCACTTCAGCCTTGTGCTCATCAACGTTTCTGTACTGTTCTAGACCTTGTGCCTACTTGGCCTCACTTGCTCACTTCCTGACTTTGCTTGTACTGTGATCTATATACTTATACCTGCATGCTTACACCTGCTAGGTTGTGATCACTGTACTGCTTCTTCTCCATTATATATAACTCTGCATGTGAACTGGCCTTGTGGCCATTTGCTTGTGCTCAGAATGCGTGGTGACTTCGTGATCCACCCTGAGCTTGCTTTGCTTTTCTTGACCGGTCTTGTGACCTCTTGTTCTCCCCCACTTTGCCTATGGGGGTGTGTCAAACTTATATGTTGCTTATTGTGTAGGATGTAGTGGGGTAGCCTATATGGGGTACAACCCAATTCGGGTTTCCTACTTGTACCCACCTTGCTGCTAGTTCATTCATTCCTCTTCGTACTTCTGACACGCGTAGGCGGCACCCAGACTTACAGTTGTAATGTACAGAAACACCTCGTTGCAGGCATGTGGCGACAGGCCATGGGCGGTAGTGCGCCCCGGGGAGCGTTCCTTCCCTCGCTGCCCACAGCCGCTCGGAAACCCCCGTCGTTTAGCGTTCCCGTGACGCGGTGCTACGTGGCTCTGCGTGCGGCGTTCGTACTCCGCCGGGCTGTACGTAGCGATGCGTCCCTGCTCCTTCACTGCCTCTTCTTCGGGCTTCAGTCGGCCCTGGTGTTCAAATCCAACCGTCCTTTGCGGTCGCTTTGCTTCTGATGGCTAGGATTCGTGGAAGCTTCGAGGAACAGATCAACAAGTGCCAATTCAACCGCCTCGGAGGTATAAATCGACCAGATATGCTTTCGGTCGATCAATCTTCGAGCACAGTTCTGGTAAACTTCTTCTGGAGTTGATCTCAAAGTCCTCCATTCGCCTATTAAAGCAGAGAGCATCGCTAGCGCCACCACCAGTTCCATTCATTTAGATAACCTGCTCGCCGTCGGTCTGTTACGGTTCCTCTGCATTCCGTGAAAAGCATTACAAATATTTCACTCACCAGCGTTAAGCTTATTAAGAAACGGTTTACTCGCCATGGCTGCGTCTTCTCGAGCCGTCTTCCACCTCCTCCCGCTCCTCCTCCTCCTCGTTACATCCGCGTCTGCTGCTCGCCGCCCGCCACCAACCAAAGCGCAGATCAAGGCGGAGGTGTCGTGGATGGCGAAGCGGCTGCTGCAGCGGTACCCACAGTACTCCAAGTTCTCAAAGGACTTCAACAAATACGTCAACCTCGCCAGTCAGTTCTGCTCCCTGCCTCTTCCTCCCTGTTTCGTCCTCCCTGCCTCATCCTCCCTGCATCATTCTCCCTGTCTCATTCTGCCTAAATCAACTTCCTTGCTTCCTCTCTTTTCCGTGCTTTCATTCTGCACTTGTCCCTCCAGAATGATGGATCGTCTTCCTGCTTTCCCTACTTTTCTTACCATTTGTCTGCCCTCCAGTCACATTTACCCGCTTTGTTCTTTTGCCGCTCCAGTAAAACCGGCTCCCTCACTCCCTTCCAATCCAATCCCAATCCCAGCCCCAGTGAACTCCGAGTACAACTTCTCAGCACTTGCTGATACCACCCTCCTATTCTGAGTCGACTCAAAACTGTCCAACCCCTTCCCCTTCCCCTTTCCCTTCCCCTTTCCCTTCCCCTTTCCCTTCCCCTTCCCCTTCCCCTTCCCCTTTCCCTTCCCCTTTCCCTTCCCCTTCCCATTTCCCATTTCCCCTCCAGTGAACTCCAAGTACAATTTCTCAGCACTTGCTGACGCCACCCTCCTCATTCCCAGCAACACAGCGGCAAAGGCGCTTTCCAAGAGGCTTCCTCTCACGTCCAAGAACATTCCCAAGGCATACAACGTCACAGCCTATCACATCATCGCGAAACGTTTCATCCTGCCCAAGATCAAGGCCATGCGGGCAGGCCAGCCGCTGCCAACTCAGCTGCGACAGGCTCTCTACAAGCTGACCGGCAGGAATGGCAGTGTGGTGATGTTTGGGACGTACCCTAGCACTAGAGCGAGGGGGATTGTGACGATCAGGATGGTGATTCCCGGCATGTACGTTGGGCCATACTTCATTGCCCATGGCGTGGACCGCGTGCTGCTGCCTCGAGGCACCCGCGTGTGAAAGGGGACCGCTAAGCTGCTGGCTGTGGGAGGGGGAGGTGGCTGTGGGAGGGGGAGGTGGTGGGGTTGTAACGAACAGGGTGCTGATTCCTGGCATGTACATTGGGCCATACTTCATTGCCCATGGCGTTGACCGTGTGCTGCTGCCTCGAGGTACCCGCGTGTGAAAGGATGATGCTGTGCTGCTGGCAGTGGGAGGGGGAGCTGGTGTGATTGTAACGAGCAGGGTGGTGATTCCGAGCATGTACGTTGGGCTCTACTTCATTGCCCATGGCGTAGACCGTGTGATGCTGCCTCGGGGAACGCGCGTGTGAATGATGGCCGCCGTGTTGCTGGGTGTGCGAGGGGGAGCTGGCGGCAGGGTTGTAACGAGCAGGGTGGTGATCCCCGCCATGTACGTTGGGCCGTACTTCATTGCTCATGGCGTCGACCGCATGATGCTGCCTCGAGGCACGCGTGTGTGAAAGGTTATTACCGTGCTGCTGGGTGTGCGGGGTGTGCGGGGGGGGGGGGGGGGAGGAGGAGGGGGGGGTGTAACAAGCAGGGTGGTGATTCCCGACATGTACGTTGGGCCGTACTTCATTGTCCATGGCGTGGACTGCGTGTTGCTGCCTCGGGGAACGCATGTGTGAAAGAGGGCCACTGGCACACTGTGCTCGTGGTGATGTGAGGTGAGGGGTGGTTGACGCAAGATCAGTTTTGTAACTGCGGAAAGTGCTTGTGGGATGGCAGCTTGAGTAGGAAGCGCTGTACAGACTTTCTTTATGATACCGTAATATGGCATTTGGCATTTGGCGTTTAGCAGTGAGTCCATCTTTTATTTGACTAGAGCTCTAAAGTAGCAGTATGGTAGTTTTGATTACAAAAACTCCACTGAATCGAATGGTGCACATTTGCTGCTAGACCTCGTAAATACAGTAATAGACTGATCAAGAAGTGGAGCAAAGATAGGTACTACTACGGCCAAACAATCACGACAACGATAGTACATCTTGATGGATTAGAAGAACTAAGTAGGAAAAAATAGCTAGATGATTTCCAACTGCACTGTACTCTTTCTGCTGCCACTCCACACTGGGGTGGGGAATGGAACCCATCAACACCTATCTGCACCACCATCACACAGTAAGCACGTGGAAGAGAAGGCAACGGCGGGGCTCAGGGAACTGCTTGTTGTCGTCGCCCTGGTTGAGGTTGATGACGTCACCATTGGGTGCCTTGAGCTGCACGCTGGTGAGTGGAAGGCGCACTGTGAGGATCTGGTTCAGGAAAGATGATTCTATTGAATGATTCACCTGGGTACAAGACGAGGCTATATATAGGCTCGACACAAGGCCAGTTACCCAGGTGTTACGCGAATGTTCTGAGGGTCGCGAAGCGTCCCGAATAGAACCTTCCCGAACTCAGTAGAAAGCAATTCGGTGGAAACCGAATAGGCTTGAGTTCTGTACACGTAACCTGGTTCGGTGCTATAACTATAATAACATATAGGAATGCACCTAACCTAGGAAATCAAGCATATCTATGCATGATAAATAAAACCTAAGCTAGTAATAGCATAATAAAGTCCAGGCAAGCTAGCAAAAGCCAGCATAAGCCGTCGTACTCTCACACGTCCCCCCCTCAAAGCTGGGTGGCGTGAGAAACACCCTGCTTGACAAGATAGTCCTTGAGAGCACGGCGTGCGTTGCCCATATCAGCTTCTGCAACCCAACTGTCCTCCGACGGGTCGTATCCCTTCCAGCGTATCAGGAACTCGAGCGTGTTGCCGCGTCTGCGTCGATGAGCGAGCACTCGTTCCACCTCGTACTCTGGTTCATCCTGTACGAGAACAGGTGGTGGTGTCGAGCTGGCGTCCCTGGAACTGTTGGTTGGGGTCCTTGTAGGGCTTCAGTAGCTGAACATGGAAAGCGTTGTGAAGCTTCCACGTAGTAGGTAAGCGCAAGCGGAATGTTACTGGTGTCACCTGTGCCTCATCGTGAAAATGACCACAGAAGCGAGGCCGGAGCTTGGATGGTAGGTGAGACAGGTTCAAGGTGCGCGTGTCGAGAAGCACCTGATCTCCGACTGCTACGGTGTGATCTCGTCGCTGACGATCGGCATACTGCTTATGGGAGGTCTGCATCGTGGTGAGTCGTCGCTGAGTCTTCTCCCATAGCTGTTGCATGGTGGTCACGAAGTCATGTGCGGCTTGGACGTGTGCCGGTGTGGTTGGCCGCTCTGGTGTAAGTGGTTCCCGTCCATAGCACAGGAAGAAAGGAGATTTCCCTGTGGCCGCATGTGATGCGTTGTTGTAAGCGAACTCTAGGGTCGGTAACTGTGTTTCCCAATGGCTGACATCGTCTTTGCAAGCTGTGCGCAGTAACTGTTCAACCACCTGATTGAGTCGCTCTGTCTGTCCGTCAGTCTGGGGGTGGTGCACGTGTGCTGCCATCCCGGGCCAGTAGTAATACTTCGCTATCCCTGCTAACGTCTTGTTGCTCCCGAAATGTCCCGCGTACTGTACGTCGTGAAACTCCTCCAGCAGAATCTGTCGGAGCGGGGCATAGTTCGGTACCCAAATCTTTCCTGATCCCTTTCTTACAGCTAAGTCCTTCTCCCACTGTTACATCTTCTGTTTCTCTGCCGTAGTAATCTCTGCGTCCACGGAGTACCCATGTTGGAATAGACCCTTGAGTAGAGGGTTCATATCCGCCTGGAACGTCGCCGGTGCGTTGCACAGTCCGAACGGCATCACTAAGTACTCGTAGGAGCCGTATCTGGTACGGAACGCCGTCTTGTGGATCGAGTTGTCCGCCATCTTGATCTGCCAGTAACCCGACCGTAGGTCCAGCTTCGAAAAGACTGTTGCACCACGCAGTTGGTCCGGTAGGTCGTCTATGCGCGGTATGGGATATTTGTTCTTGACTGTCTGTTTGTTCAGTGCGCGGTAGTCGATGCACATCCGTAAACTGCCGTCGGGTTTTGGAGTGAAGAGAACTGGTGCACCATAGGGAGAGGTGGATGGGCGGATCAGTTGTCTGTCCAGTAGATACTCTATCTGCTTCTTCATGTCTGCCAGTCCGGTCGGACTAAGGCGGTATGGTGCACGTGAGACGGGTTTCGCACCTGGTTCCTCCACGATCTCGTGCTCGTGGGTGCGTGCTGGAGGTACGCCTGCAGGTAGGTCGTCGGGCATTATATCCTTGTACTGCTCCAAGACCTCTTTTACTGCTGCAGGTAGCTCTGTGTTCGGCTTCTCCTCCTCTGCCGCTGCCATAACCAGTGCGAAGTAACCCGTGTTACTCTCGTTCACCGTCCGTTCGAACCGTGCCAGTGTCGTTTCAGGAACGCTCCCTGTATCCGTCCAGCTCCGCAGCTCCACTCGTTTCCCGTTGTTGTAGATGTACGCCTTCCGGTTGACCCAGTCGATCTCGGGGTTGAACCGCTTCAGAAAATCACGCCCCAAGATGAAATCTAATCCCTTGATGTTCGTGATCGGCAACGTCGGCTTCCACCTTAACGCTCCTATCTGCAGCTGCAGTGTTGACTCGCCGTGGATGGGAAGCTTCGTACCGTCCACCATCGTTGCTGTAATTTGAGTCTCCTCTGAGGATTCTCCAATTTTCTCCAATGTCCCGCGGTCGCACACCGAGTGGGACGCACCACTGTCCACCAGGGCCTGGAGGCGTCGCCCGTTGCAGATCACCTCGAGTACTAGTGGTTGTTGCCGCTCCGAGTAGCTGTAGATGGTGTTGCTTATAGGATCATAGGGTAGATCAAATGTATCATCCCTTGGTCCTGCGCTCGAAGCTGCTGTCTCAATATCAGGTATCATCTGAGTAGGGTTAGAAGGATTTATCCGAGGCTGGTACAGCTTCTCCTGTGCCTGGAACCTTCCCCTAAGCCTTTGCAGCTGTGTAGGCTTCATCTGTGGGGAACAGAGAGCCTTTAAACAGTGCTGCTGGGAGAGAATATTAACTCCTCGGAACGCTCGACCCGTATTAGCGCTCTGGAGTAGGGTCCCCATATTACCCGGTACCGGTTTAATTTCTGACTCTCCCTTAATAAGGCTTGAAACCCACGAGAAGTAATATTCTTACTTGTCGGGGTGTACGACTGGAGTTTCCTGGTCGGTGCAGGGTCTTGTTTCGCGGATCCTCCTTTAGTCTCGGCGATTTCCCCTGGTGCCGGCTGGTCGTGACGTTTTAAATTCGCACCACCATATTCTCCTTTTTTCACCCTCTCCGAAGTTGCCACGTTGTCCGTTTTCTGCTTCGGGGGTGCCACACTGTTCTTGTCCCTCAGCTCCGCACGCCTTTTCTTCATTTTCCAACACGCCAAGATACGATGTCCTGTAGCGCCGCAAAATTCGCACGTCTCGTTTTTTGCTAGCCGCTGCTCCACATCGCCCTTGTCGTTCTCCGTCGGGTCGGCAGTCGTGGGTGGTGCCAATCGCCCCATGCCACTATTTGGCATGTTGCGTCGTATTCCGTAGTAGCTACTGTTCAACGCGTCAAACTGTTCGATCAGTGCTGCACGAAACTGCGCCCACGTCCCTTCGCTTTGGACTATACTGTTGTTGATCCACTCTAGAGCTGGGCCTTGTAACAGTGTTGCTGCGAGCCGTATGCGCATTGCGTCTTTTGTCGGGGTCGTGCATCCAACGGCTTCGAAGTAAATTTCGAGTTCAGCTACAAATTGACGAACGTCGTTCCCTTTAACTATAGGATCGAACGCCTCCGGTAGCCTCAGCTTTACTGCTTCGAGGTTCACTGTAGCTGCTGCCGTTGTCGCAGGTAGAATTGTCGGTGTCGCCACTGCTGCTGCTGCTGCTGACGCTGCTGCATTCTCTGCTGCTGTGGCAGTTGCCGACTGATTCGCAAGGAGTTTCTCGAGTCGTGGGAGCGCCGCATGTATCTGCTTATGCTCGGCACGTAACTCCGCGATTTTCTGTACTGAAATATCTCCTTTTCCCTCCATTTGGCGAATTACAGGAAGATGCGCGACGAAAACAATTGA